TACTTTTTACAGTTAGCTGATAAATGTATCTCCTCATGTAGTATTAATAAGAGTTTATATTTCTCCTATCAACCCATTGTAAGATTATGCACTTGCATCCACTTAGGGAACCTATGATGTCAACATTTATTAATACAAAGTTTAACCATTTACTTATACAAAGTTAAATATTTTAATGTATATATATTTTTTTGCAGTTTTGTTTGTGATGGGTGAAGAGTATTGTACAAGAATGTTTATAGCATGATCATTTCAACTTTTGATAGAGTCATCGAGTAGGGATTTATCAAAATCTTCACTCAAAAAACTCAAAAGAATAAATAAAGAAGACTATGGGGTGTCATTATTAGAAACTATAAGATTTAAAATATATCATAGATGCCTAAAAAAATTAATATGTTAGTTTGGATTTTCATGTGATAGATCAACAAATAGAAAGTATTAACTAATATGTGATTGATGGGTTGATGTCAAAATTATTTTCCTTGATATTGTGTTTGACAATCAATATCATAATTCCAATAAAAATTGGCAGTGCATATTTACGTATAATGCGAGAAAAAATCAATTTTGAAAGCGAAGAAAACATCAAGAGAGTCGAGGAAGAAAATAAATATTACATGACTTTAACTAATTTTATCTAAAAGTGTGACATTTGACATTTTTTTCATATAGCATTATAATATACATGTTATATTTTGATTTGCCACCATGATTATGACCTTGGGCTTACTTTGCCAAAACCTTAGCACTACAATTTCAAATTGAATCATTACAACTATCTTCATCAAAGAATATATATTGAATGTGCTATTCTAAGTGTTATTTGAAGTATAACACATTTTTAATGACGTGATTAAGAAGTTAAATCACACTTTTAAGTATTATTTTAGTTACAAAATTTTTTAGTCAATTATATATAGTATTATTAAAAAATATTTTAATTTGTAATTTAATAAAAAATATATTAATTATATGATTTTTAACCACATAATGCAAACATGACTATCCTAAAATTATCATGGATTGGACGGTTCAATATATATATATATATTGAGGTTGTCCGGCTCAATTTTGGTTAACTGAATTAATCAAGGTGACCTAAAATAAATAAATAAAAAAAACTTACATATTATTTCATTCGGCAGAATTGTTATTGTTCACCTTAGGGGTGTAAACGAGCCGAACACGAGCGAGCCTAGGATCAGCTCGTATTCGGTTAGTTTATATTTCAAGCTCAAAAAGTGTGTTCGTGTTCGGGTCGTTTGCTTGGCGAGCTGTTCATGAGCAAACAATCATTTTGACAACCCTAATCACGTAGCCATAAGATGTTAAAATTTATTATTTATATCAAGACATCATTCAAATTTAATTTAATAATTTTTATTCTATTTTTTTAATTAATACTTTTAATCGAACTTCACCAAAGCCAAAGGGAGCTAATTTTAGGGGTGTGCAAATGATTAATTTGGATTGATTGGTTGATAAATTAGTCAAACTTAACAAATCTGAAATCTAAAGAATCAAGCAGACAAATCTGAACTAAACCGAACCAAAGATGTAATTCGGCTTAATTGGTTCGGTTTGGAGCGAATCAAAACTTAGGATTTGGTTCTATTTCATACTAAAACAATTTAATGGTCTATTTAAAATTCTTTTTTTTTATCTCCTCACTCTTTCCTTTCCTTTTTGTTTAAATAATATTAAAACTAATCCAAAAAATAACAATTTCTCTCTCTCTCTCTCTCTCTCTCTCTCTCTCGTTTTCCGGGTAGTCATCATGGCAACTTTTTCTCTGCTCTCTCATGTCTATCACTGAACATCTTCCATTTCAACCTTTTGTCTCTCCATCAACTTTGACCATCGGCAACGCCATTAAATTTCCCAATCAATACAAGTCAAAAACCATCAAAGAAAGATCTCAAACAAAACTAGGGTTTTAAAACTTCTTAGCTTGCATGAAGGTTGTCTTTAATTTCACACTTGAAAGGGAAAAAAAATCCTGCAAAATGGTGTTAAACCCTTAAAATATGCCATATAAAAGACCGCATCACCTTTTACTTGATTGCTTTTCAGAAATGTCTGTCTTTCCTGCAGTCTCCTTTAAGCTTCCTGCCAATGGCGCTGAAGTATATTGTTTGACTTCTAGGGATACAATCATGCTTTGGCATGAACTTTTTCCCTTTAACAAGTATAAAAAATGGACACTTTCCTTGTTAGAAAGCACCAGAATAAACGTTTGTTTGTGTGTGTGTGTGTGAATATATATATATATATATATATATATATATATATATAAAAAAGAAATGGGCG